AGCGTGACGGTGCCTTAAAATCCACCTGGCTTTTAACATAAGAATCAGGATCTCTCCTTTTCTGTGGTGGGAGATGGTGGTCATGTGGGGGCAGCTGTGTTTCTCCTGCCTCATGGAGAACCCCAGCAACCGGTGATAAAGAGGACGGTGTCATATGGGGGCAAACGTAGCCCTGCCTCTCAGGGACAGGCCCCAAGCTCTGCCCTAGGAAGGGCACCTTGCACGCAGAGGGTTTTGCAGAAGGCAGCAGCAGCAGCAGGCTGTGCTGGGTGCACATCTGCTGGAGGCCCTTGCAGAGCACGGGGTGGGCCAAGCCGCCGGGGGACATCCGGGTCCCGCCGGAGCTGCCAGGCGCCCCATTGTCCCTATTACTCGAGGAACACCAGAAAAAGAACAGCAGGGCTGCGGAGGAAACGGCCACGCCGGGGAAGGGGAGCAGAGTGCGTGACCTGAGGTGGCCCCGTCATGGGGACAGCAATACCCTGGGCTGGCCACAGCCCTGCTGCTGCGCAGGAGCCAGGCAGCGCTTCGGGCAGGAGGGCGTTGGGGGTGCTAGCCCCATGGATCACCCCGCCATACTATGCTATGGCTGTACTCAGGGGGAACAGCCTCCAGCAGGGTGTTGCTGAGAGTGCAGAGCTGGCCACGATCTGGAGGTATGGATCTGCTCTGGGCCACCTGGAGCAAGGATAACTCCAGCACCCTTCCATACAGGAAAGGGTGCTGTGACTCCGACGCACCCCTCTCCTGGCCAGTGCGCAGGAATCAATTCATGCAGTAGCACAGCCAACAGCAGGGTAAATGATGTAATGAAACGCTGCTTAAATCCTTTTCTCAGCTGAGACTCAGTTCTGTGCAGATGAGGAGCACCTGGGTTGCGATGTCTGCCAGGAAACCAGCCCTTACATTAGGTGTGGTTTTAACCATCACCTGGGGCTACACATAAAAATTCCCTGCTTCTATGCAGCTACCTCCTGTTAAAACCAGCACTGGGATACCTCTGTAAGGGAGAATTTGGATTGCAGCCACCCCTGGTCTCTTAGCAGCTTCCCACCAACAGGCTGTGTACAGTTGTTCCTGGAGAGGGAAGTCTCGGAAGAGAGGAGCAAATACTTGTCTGGGATCACATCAGCATCCCTTGTGCTACAACAGAGGCGTGGCTGATGTCCTCTGGCTGGTGATACCAGTGTGGATCTGCTCCCAGATCCTGAGGAGGAAAAAAGACTCCAGCTTTCTGCTGGAAGATGTTGGTGCAGTGGGATGCACCTGAAACCTGCTCCCCACTGCCTGCAAGAGCGCTGCAGGGCAGAGCGTACATGCAGGGCTGAGGTCAGTGCATGTTCAGGACCCCAGAAGGGGCATCAGGACCCAAACCTGCCCCTCTTTTGTGGGGCTGGGAATGAGCCATGGTCTGTGAGCCAGCATACCCAGGGGCTTCAGTCAGGCTGGCTCTGGAGTAGTTGTTTGCATGGGAAATGCCTTCCTCTGGTGGAGCCTAATGGGAGCTTCAGTTTCCTGTTACTGTCTGCATCTTCAGAGCAGACGGGGAAAATCTGCCGCATTCTTCAAGCTATCAATAAGTGGAAATAAACACTATGTGCTCCTTTGGTCTGCGCTTCCTATTGTGGGGAATTAATAGCTGCATTTTGCAAAACAGCCCCACTAAAGACAGATTGAACAGAAAAGGCCATTCTTCCCTTCCTAGGATATGGATTACGTCTCCAACATTTCCCAGCCCGAGGGGTAAACATCTCCAGCCAGATCTGCAAAATAGCTCTGTTTCCATCTGGCTTTGGAAACAACTCCCTGTTTAACCAGGGATTGGAGCTCTCTGGGGGAAATGGAGCTCTTCATTCACCTGGTCCCTTCGTGGGTCCCCCCAGGGAGAGCTCTGCCACCCTCCTGCCAGCCTCCTTTGGCTGAGTGTTGCACACAGGTAAAACAGGAGCAGCATAACACTGAATTCAGCTAGGCAGCTGCCATGCATGGGCTTTGCTGCAGATTAAAATCATGCTGGGAAAAAGGATGCTGCAAAGCTGGCCAAGCTCTCTGTGGCGTGGGAGAGTGAGTGGGACCCACCCTGCCTCCTGGGGGTGTCCTCTCCTCCATGCCAGCTGAGTGTCAACGATGCCCTCGGTGGCTGCGGGGTGAGCAAAGGCAGCCGTTTGTAAAGTCCCGCTCAGCCCTGAGATAACAGGATACAAACACTGTCTTACCTCTGACCTCAGTCTTGCAAGTAGATGGGCTGATCACCTGAACTTCCATCTGGGGCAAGTGCCCATCAGCCTGAACAGCTTAAGGTTGGATGCATGTGTAGCTTTGGAGGGAGAAGTCCTGTGATGCGCAATCAGTCCAGCAAGCTTTGCTCCAAGGAGGGTCCTCCTTCACCTTATCCTCAAAACCTGTCAGAAGCGACTGGTCCCACTTAGGCTAGCAAGGAGACAGGCTTGCAGTCACCTGGTGCTTAACAGCATTTCTTCCTTTTTGCAGGACCCTCCATCGTGACCCCTCCTAAGGACATCTGGAATGTGACAGGAGCACAGATCTACCTGAGCTGTGAAGTCATGGGCATCCCAACCCCTGTCCTCATCTGGAACAAGGTAAGGGCCCTGCTAGGAGCTCCTAGAGCACAGCAAACCTGAGGCAGCTGGAACTGCCTGGTAAGCACAAAGGCCATAGCAGATCCCTCCTCAGAAACACACGTCTTTGGCGAGTGCAGTTCTGTCCACCCCTGAACATCTGGCTTTGCTTAATCTTTTTCTAAACTCTTGTTGATCCCAAGGCAGACCAGGACTTGCGTTTCTCTCGGTAGTGCCTGGTGTTCAGAGCACGCAGGGAATGTCCTTTGACCTGCTGTCACCCTGCTGCTGGCAGTGACTCCGAGGTGGCTGGACAGGGCTCGCCCACGTCAGGCACAGGAGCCGCATGGGGCAGTTACCTCCCTTAGCCGGCAGCGTGCTGATTTTGGTAACGCCGGGCTTAGGGCAGGGGCCAGTCTTGAGCAGAGAGGATCCCAGCCGTAGGGCTGAGCGCCACTGCATGGCCCCTGTAGCCTCTTCGAATGCTGCAGGTTTGTGAGCGCGTGGGAGGGGTCTTAAAATTAAGCTGAAACAATACTAGATTAAGAATACTACAGGGGAAAAAAACTAGATTGGCCCAGAGATTGCTCTGTTCTGAGATGGCAAACTATTCATAGGGGCCCCAGAGCAGACGGTCGGGTGAGCACGCAATGTAGGCATGTTGACCCAGGCAGCATTTTCTGCTTGTTTACAAGCAGACGCCGTGTTTACATGGACTGTCAGTGCTGCTCTGCTTTTCGTGCCTCTTCCTCATGGCTGAGAGACTGCTTGACCTGGTGATAACGAGGGCTGAGCATCACTTATCCCATGCCATGCTCTGGGCTCGGATAGGCAGCACTGAGGAATGACTGCACTGCTGCTCTCCCATCGGCACTGTGCCCACCAGGAGGGACTGCCCGGTTTGCTGCAGCAGAGACCGACAGGGCTGCCCCTGGCCTGTCGGGAAGAGGGTAGGTCATGCAGGGAGAGCCCGTTCCAGGAGCAACATTCAGACGCTCAGTTCTCTGCTACTGCCACGCTAAGCCTGATCATCAGGAAAGTTGCAGGGGGGCCTCTCCAAACCGGGACAACTGTCAGTTCCTGCTCACCCCCAGTCCCAGGCCAGAAGGCAGCTGCTCCTGCC